ACTTTAATAAACATAACTGAATTTATTTTAGAGAAAACTTTGTTAAAAACAGTTTCTGCTCTGAGGTCAACTAAAACTAAAATAAATCAGATATGAAACTGATGTGAAACAAACTGTTTAAGGTTTAATATTTTTAAACTTATTGTTTGGTAAAATATATTTCTGTGTGTTTTTGAACAATGAAACAGATTAAATGTAGTTTTGTTTCTTTTCAGAGCGATGACATCATCCCTCCTCCTCCTCCTGCTGCTGGCAGCTCAGACTGCAGGTGAACTCACCTGAACCTTTTTCACTTTTATTCAACATTTATTAAATGTTATAAAATCAAATCAACACTTTTTATAGTTGTGGCTTCGATCCACAACCAGTTGACCTGATGTTTTAGCTGATTGTTTACAGTAAAAACAGGATGAGTTTAACCTTAACAACAGAGACATGGAGCTAAAGCTGTTTTCAGTAAAACAAGCAGAATAACTTCCTGAAAGTAGCAACAGCTAGCCTCATAATGCTAACATAAAGACAGCTAGAAACAGTAAAACACTAGATACGAGCTAAAATGATCAAATGCTGGCTAAAAGTAGCAACAGAGGTGAATACAGCTAACCAAAAAGTTAGCTTCACCAACCACTAATCTGCTAAACAAGAATCTTAGCTCCACTAATGCTAAACCAAATTAACAGAAGCTAATGCTAAACTAAATTAGCAGAGGCTAATGCTAAACCAAATTAACACAAGCAAATGCTAAACCAAATTAGCAGAAGTTAATGCTAAACCAAATTAGCAGAAGCTAATGCTAAACCAAATTAGCAGAGGCTAATGCTAAACCAAATTAGCAGATGCTGATGCTAAACCAAATTAACAGAAACTAATGCCAAACCATATTAACAGAAGCAAATGCTAAACCAAATTAGCTGAAGCTAATTCTAAATGAAATTAACAGAAGCTAATGCCAAACCAAATTATCAGAAGCTAAATCTAAACCAAATTAGAAGAAGCTAATGCCAAACCAAATTAGCAGAAGCTAATGCTTATCCAAATTAACAGAAGCTAATGCTAAACCAAATTAAGAGAAGCTAATGCTAAACCAAATTAAGAGAAGCTAATGCTAAACCAAATTAGCAGAAGCTAATGCTCAATTAAATTAACAGAAGCTAATGCTAAAACAAATTAGCAGAAGCTAATGCCAAACCAAATTAGTAAAAGTTAATGCCAAACCAAATTATCAGAAACTAATGTCAAAACAAATTAGCAGAAGCTAATGCTAAACCAAATTGGCAGAAGCTAATGCCAAACCAAATTAACCGAAGCTAATGCCAAACCAAATTAGCAGAAGCTAATGCTAAACCAAATTATCAGAAACTAATGTCAAACCAAATTGGCAGAAGCTAATGCTAAACCAAATTGGCCGAAGCTAATGCCAAACCAAATTAACCGAAGCTAATGCCAAACCAAATTAGCAGAAGCTAATGCTAAACCAAATTAGCAGATGCTAATGCTAAACCAAATTAACAGAAACTAAAACCAAACCAAATTAACAGAAGCAAATGCTAAACCAAATTAGCTGAAGCTAATGCAAAACGAAATTAACAGAAGCTAATGCCAAACCAAATTATCAGAAGCTAAACCTAAACCAAATTAGCAGAAGTTAATGGTAAATCAAATTAGCAGAAGCTAATGCTAAACCAAAATGACAGAAGTTAAAGCTAAACCAAATTAGCAGAAGCTAATGCTTATCCTAATTAACAGAAGCTAATGCTAAACCAAATTAACAGAAGCTAATGCTAAACAAAATTAGCAGAAGCTAATGCTAAACCAAATTGGCAGAAGCTAATGCCAAACCAAATTAGCAGAAGCTAATGCCAAACCAAATTAGCAGAAGCTAATGCCAAACCAAATTAACCAAAGCCAATGCTAAACAGAAGCAAATGTTAAACCAAATTCACAGAAGCTAATGCTAAACCAAATTAAGAGAAGCTAATGCTAAACCAAATTAACAGAAGCTAATGCTAAACTAAATTAACGGAAGCTAATGCTAAACCAAATTAGCAGAAGCTAATGCCAAACCAAATTAGTAAAATCTAATGTCAAACCAAATTAGTAAAAGCTAATGCCAAACCAAATTAACCGAAGCTAATGCCAAACCAATTTAACCGAAGCTAATGCCAAACCAAATTAGCAGAAGCTAATGCTAAACCAAATTAGCAGAAGCTAATACTAAACCAAATTAGCAGAAGCTAATGCTAAACCAAATTAACAGAAGCAAATGTTAAAACAAATCACAGAAGCTAATGCTAAACCAAATTAAGAGAAGCTAATGCTAAACCAAATTAGCAGAAGCTAATGCTAAACTAAATTAACAGAAGCTAATGCTAAACNTTAAGAGAAGCTAATGCTAAACCAAATTAGCAGAAGCTAATGCTAAACTAAATTAACAGAAGCTAATGCTAAACCAAATTAGCAGAAGCTAATGCCAAACCAAATTAGTAAAATCTAATGCCAAACCAAATTAGTAAAAGCTAATGCCAAACCAAATTATCAGAAACTAATGTCAATCGAAATTAGCAGAAGCTAATGTCAAACCAAATTAGCAGAAGCTAATGCTAAACCAAATTGGCAGAAGGTAATGCTTAACCAAATTGGCAGAAGGTAATGCTTAACCAAATTGGCAGAAGCTAATGCCAAACCAAATTAACCGAAGCTAATGCCAAACCAAATTAGCAGAAGCTAATACTAAACCAAATTAGCAGAAGCTAATGCCAAACCAAATTAACAGAAGCTAATGCTAAACCAAATTAGCAGAAGCTAATGCTAAACCAAATTAACAGAAGCTAATGTCAAACCAAATTAACAGTAGCTAATGTCAAACCAAATTAGCAGAAGCTAATGCTAAACGAAATTAACAGAAGCTAAGCTAATGCTAAACCTAATTAGCAGAAGCTAACGTTAAGATGAGCGTCAGTACCTGTTGTTGTTTTCTGTTGGTTTAATTTGAAGGTGAGTGGAATCTGTGGTTAATCAATCAGAGTTATAACTAATTTAACTCTTTCAGAATAAAAGCATTTATTTGATCAACTTTGTATGTTTTTTTAATACGATTCGAAGTTAGTCAACAACAAACAGCAAATCTTTTCTCTACCATGTTTTAGATGCAGTTTTGTTTTGTATTCTTTATTTGAATATTGTTAAATACTTTAGTTATTTTTGACGCTCCTAGTTTGAAGTTTAGCAACTAAAGATGCTACATGCTAACACACACGGTGCCTGACATGTCCAGCACTGCTTGTAAGAGGTGATAGTTTTGATTTAAGATAAATTGTATAAAAATATAAGTTTTTCCATGTAATTTTTTAGTGGAGTTAGTGGAAGCTAATCGACGTCACTGATGGTTTCTAAAGTTAGCAAAAATCTAATCTGCTAAAAAAGAAGCTAGTTCCGCTATTAGCTAGTTAGCAGAACTGTACTCACCAGGAACTAAGAAAGTTTAAGCTAGAAATGTCAGAATTTGTGAAAATATAATCCATTTAAAGAAAATGTGGAACTTAAATTCATTTGTTTTTTCAGAAACAAAAGAATAAAATTTAAAGTTAGTGTTGTTCTTTCCCTGCAGTGTTGGTCCTTTCTCAAACACCAGCGTTGCTGTAAATAACCCTAACGTTCAGCAGGTAACAGTTGTCATATTTTCCTCTCTCTAACAGCAGCTGACCCAGTGAACAACACCGGCACTAGTTTTATTGCAGTTTTTCCTGAAAACATCGCCTACTATCACCCCACAAACCCACAGAACCAGATCTGGGTCACTGCTTTATACAACGCCACAACGGTCACCGTCAGTCCGACGTCCAGCACCAGTTCACCCCAGCTGAGCGTCAATCAGTCCCAGAGTTTCGATCTGGATCAGGAGCTCATGAGGAACCTATCTGTGGAAGCTTTCGGGGTCTCTAACAGCGTAGTGAACATAACCAGTGACAAACAGATCGTGGTCCAGGCCTTCAGCATTAAAAAGAAAAGTGTGCAGACCGCTGTGCTCGTACCCACAGATAAACTCGGCACCAAGTACTTCATCCCACCCGTACCTGTGATCTCCGGGACCACCGATGACCCGAACGTGAACGTCACTGAGAGAAGTCCGTTCAGGCTCATCATCATCAACCCGACCGATACAAACACGGTGACGGTTAAAGGATCAGCTGCCAGCTCTGTGACTCTGCAACCGGGCCAAGTCTCCCAGAGCTGGGTGCCAAACAACCAGGTGCCCAGGTGGGTCGAAGCAGAGAAACCCATCGCGGTCCTCTTCAGCCATCCATGTGCCATGCAGACCAACTGCACCTGCGGCCTTCTGACGGCCATGTTGCCCCCAGCCAGGAACCAAACGGTGAGGTTCCCCGTTCCCTCGGTTCTGGCTCAGAACGCCTCGGTGCTCCTGTCGGACGGAGGATCCCGTGAAGCCAAACCCTTCAATCCAGACTCTGACTCTGCCGTGGTGCAGTCCTCAGGCACCGCCATTCTGTACCGACCCGGTCTACTCCTCACCCTTATCCCAGAGACAGAGTTCGCCAGCTGCTTCTCTATCTTCACTGTCCCGTCCAAGACAAACTTTGCTATCATCGTGGTCCTCAAAGACTCCACCAGCGGGATTTACGTCGGAAACAGTCTCCTGGACGCTGCGGTGTGGCAGGACCTGAAGGGAACCGAGTACGTCTCGACCAATTACAGCCTGACCCAAAACACCGTCATCTGGCACAACTCCTCCAAGATGGCCGTCTATGTAGTGGGATACGAGGGTTCTGATTGGTTTGGGAACCCGGCGCCTGTCATCAGTACCACTCCAGGTATGAACACCACAGAATTACAGAGGTCAGAGGTCAGCGAATCCCTCTGGACCTAGAAGAGTCCAGCTCAACAACTTATCAAGCTTCAAGGTTGATAAAAGCTTCATTTAGTCATTCAGATGGATTTAAAGATGTTTCACTGTTCACCATTTCCCCTAGTTCACCACACATCAGCTGGAAGAACAGACAGGAAGTAGCTCTGACAGGAACAGGAAGTAGCTCTGACAGGAACAGGAAGGAGCTCTGACAGGAACAGGAAGTAGCTCTGACGGGAAAAGGAATTAGCTCTGACTGGAACAGGAAGGAGCTCTGACGGGAACAGGAAGGAGCTCTGACGGGAACAGGAAACAGCTCTGACGGGAACAGGAAGTAGC